TTTTCGTTTTTTAATGATTTTTTCCATTCTATCAGGTGTCCATTCTTTCCAACTACCAATTTTTGGCATTGCTCTAGCACGTATATATTTCATATTATTTTTGTCAGATGGCCATGTCCATTCATGTAAGTTCGAAATCCCAGCTATCGTTCCTAATTTTTCTTTATCTAAAATTTTCATAATTATTATTATTTATATAGGTTTATATAACAAGGTCACTTATTTTACCATTATTTCTATTCGGTGTTAAATTTGCAACTCGTGTACCAGAAATATCTTTTATAGCATCTTCTATATCATTACCTGATTCAAGCTTACTGCCAAGTTTTATATACCATTTTATTGCTTGTGAGATCTAATAAAGAATAATAAAATATAATTTATGTAAATTTTGAAATATTTTCGATTAGTATACTTTTGAAGAAGACCTAACAAGATACTTAACCTGTGCATGGTGAGAATCAATTACTGTTTTAGCTTCACCAGCTTCAAGAAATAACCATCTATGTGGTGTAATCCCATACCATTCCTCCCATTGTTTAATTATTAACATTAGTTCAGTACAATGATAGTGCATTCCATTATCTGACATTATAGTAACCCATTTAGGCTTTGGGTTTATTGTTTCAAAAACTGTATATAGCGATGATGCAGTAAACCATGCATCTTGACATGTGTCATCTGACCAATGATCAAATACTTGTAGGTTTAGCTGGCTATCTGATATATTTTTAGTATACACAAGTACAGAATAGAGACTCCAACCTCTTTTGTCAAAAAAGTCACCTTTTGTTTCACAAGCAGACTGTGGTAATATTCTCATTTTATAGTCCACAATTATAACAGCACCTTCATTATCAAGCTCTTCAAGATTGGTTCTAACATATATATTCAAGTAGGTTTTACGGGTATGATGAGCCATCCACGCAATAAGTTTTTGTTGATATTCATCTAACATTACATAGTGCTCATTATCTAATTCTTTTTTTAATTGTTCAAAAAATTAAAGTAAGTTTTCACAGTTTAAACATGTGATTGGATGATCTAAATCACATTCACCAAATGCATGATGGATACAATGACTAATACAATGATTGTGAAGAGCTATGCCATCATTAGTAATGTTGAATTTTTTTGAAAATTCTCGACGTATATATCATCGCAATACTTGTGACTGTACTAATAAATTTTTCTATAAATTTTAATTTAAATTAGTTTTTTTTTTTTTTTTATTTGTTGTAAATGTAACATACCTGAGTATATTCATTTTTGATGTGAGTTGAAATTAATGCCTCAATATCACTGAATACGATATATCCATAATTGTTACAAGTTAAACAAAGGCCACCTAAATTTTCTTGATATATGTATCGGCTGCCTTTTAAGTATGTCATAAAGGAGGCATGTTTTATTCCATTAGGGTATTCTTCAGAAAATCTTTCCCATAGTGCAGTTTTATTATCTTGAAGATACATAATTGGTTGATTTGTTGCTGTATCAGTTTTATAAGAGCTTATGTTTACAATTTCTTTATCAATTAAAAATTGTTCGATTTGATTGATCATTTTAGGTATCATACGTTCATGATGAATTATTAGTTTTTGGGAAGGTACTACATCATAACCATAATTTTGTGCATATTTACATGCTTCAGCAATAGTATGTTTTTCAACCTGTTATAATAATATAATTTATTAATAGAGTATATAAAATATTATAAATTTCAATTATAATTTTATCTTACACCAAGATTATGTTGCAATTCAAAGTATGAAAACTCATCAACAATAATAGACAAAATATGTCTTTTCCCGTTTAAAGTATGTTTGTTGTCTTCAAGAGCATGATCAAAACAAGACCAAAATTTGTCAGTAGAAGTTCGAATATGAATTGGAGAGCTCATAAGAAATCCTGTTTTATATAAATTAGCTAATGATTCTTTTTCATTATTTGGATTTGAAGATTTTGTCCACAATAAAGACTAAAAACAATGTGCTGTTAATATTATTGATTGGCAAATAAAAAAACTATATTTAGTTACCTGTGATTGATCATTCGACCATGGTGTTATATTGGTACATCCACAAGCCCGAAGCATTGTTTTCCATGCACCAATTTCTCATTCACTAAATTCATATTTTCTCAGATAAATAGATTCTAGAGCAGATCTTAGTTCAATTATTGTAGAATTTGTATTTGCCCATGTAATAAAAAATTGGTGCCAGTTTATATTTGCAAGCGTACGATGTTTAACATGATAATCAAAAACAGGTTTTATAATTGATTCATTTGTCCATTCATCAGGTTTGCATGTTGGAATCCGACTTTTAGAAATAAGTTTTTGGATAATCGAATCTTCTAAACCAAAAAGTTGCATTCCTTTAAATTTTCGAATTTGACCAGATTGTTTCCAAACATCATCTGGGTTTGTATCTATGTATTTTTTTTTTATTTCTGAATTTTGAAAAATTTCCAAAATAAAGTCATTATTTTCTATTCGTGAAACAAAAATTGCACGAGTTCTTTCAAATATATGGATGATCGATGATTGAAATCCTGAACCAGCATATTTCCATTTTGCACATGAAGAATGTCTAATTGCAAATACAAAAACCTTATATTCGCCAACCATGCATGTAATAGGAAAAAACTTGATATCACTTCTAATAATTTCTAATATATCTTTATTATTCCATCCTATAACTAAATGACCCGAATATCGTGTTTCAGTATGAAACATAAGTTGATATACAGTAGAAATAGCTTTAGTCAGACTATTTTCAATTGCTTCAAAATGCTCACTTCGGCAATGATATTGTGGTAACATTGCATTATTTTTAGTACCCATTTGAATTGATAAGTAAAAATTTGCATCATTAAGAACAACTTTAATTTGTTGCTCTAAGTGAATTGGAAAGATTAAATTTTCACTAGAGAACTCCCACTAAAAGCGTGAATATGGTCCATAATGAAGATTTGAAACAATAAAGCCTAGTTTTTCTAGTATAATATAAGGGTGGTTTGTCATTTGAAACGTCTTGTATGCAACAAACAGCAAGAGATTTAGACGCTTATTAGTATAATTATCCCTAAATTTTATAATTAGTAATCATATGATTGAGTGTTGATCACTTATAGATTATCACTTAAATATTGTTTAAAATGATTAAACAAATTTTATTAGCAAGCTATTAGTATATTTTTTTATGATTTATCAAATCTTTAATATATAAACATATTATCATTAAAATATTATCTTATATCTTCTTTATGATATCATTATTTTTTAAATAATATTTTGATAATTTTTAATGTTTTATTATTTAAGATATAACAAATTTTTCTACTATCTTACTTATATTAGCTTATTTTTATATTCTTTTAAACTTATAGCAGCCAACAAGCTATTGGCTAGCTATTATTTAGATAATTGTTTATTGATATTTGGATTATGTTTTTGATTTTGACACATGTACTTGTTATCAATATCATTATATTAGGTCTTATTTTTATTAAACAACTTATTTGATTAACTATTAAACAATCTTATAAATAACTCATTATAACATATTCTTAATACTACTATTCTTATTATTCTTTCTAAAATTATAACTAATTTATATCATTAAATTAAACAACTATAGTGCATGTTTACTCACAGTATATCAGACCTACTTTCAATTTTTTTAACTTTATTAGACTTAGTACCAAATAAAATTATTACTATAATTGCGAATTTATCATTTATAAAAACATCTATAACACTTATTACTAAATTCTTACTTTATTTTAACCAACAAATTTATTATAAAATTTGAATTCCTTATTGTATTTTAAGATTTATAATTTAATTCTTACTTTTAATTTACCTTCAAATTCTGCTTTACAATTATTACAACCTTTTTTTCTTAATATTGTTAGCTTTAAAATTAATTTTTAATATATACAATAAATTAAATATCAAACCAATCTCTTATACATTATTACTAATATTCAAATCTAGATAAGTCTTGGCCACTCTAGTTGGCTTAGATTGCAAATAAATTAGTCTGAGTTTCTATTCTTAGTATAGTATTTTAAAAATAGATTTAAACTTTATATCAAAATCTCAGTTAAATATTCAATAAAGATAAAAACATAGTCTTATTATTAAAATTAAAATGAAAAAAACAATTATACAATTTTATAATATCTTGCACAGCTGTAAGAGCTGAGTATATAGTAATTGATTCTGTAAAACAATCTTAAAAAATCATTTTCAATATTTTTAAGCTTCTATAATCTTCATATATATTTTAACAAATTTTTTCTTTATTATAATTTACCACTTATTTTTTATAGCCAAACTATTTAATTTCTTATACAACATATCAACAAACATAACTATAATAATACTGTCTTTAGGGAACAGAACTCTTTCTGCAGATCCTCATAACCAAAATCAGAACAAAAAAAAATTATAGAAATCACAAAAGCCAGCAAGTAAAAGCACAGTTGTCAACTAAGTAAAGTTTAAGCTTGTAAGAAATTAGATATAGTCTGTTAGAATAGTAGACCAAGTTGACAGCAATATAGTAGGCACTTTTGATATTTAAAAAAAATTTTGCTCTTTTTCAAAAATTTTTGACAAAAAAAGAAAAAACACAGAAAACCTATACTGCAGATCATATACGTGACACATAAAACAAGTTAGAATAAACAATAAATATAACAAAACAAATAAACAAATATGTAATCTTGCAGATAAACAAATAAATATAGATATAAATAATAAAGCATATGTTAAGTATATACAGTAAAGAGATAGAAATTATGCAAAGAAGTATAACACAAAAAGTTCAACCAGTATTTACAAAAATCAACTGATGCAAAAAATTAGAAAAGTATCATAATATATTTAATAAATCTGACAGAATACAAAGAGAATTATTAGACAGTTATAAATCAAGAGTTTTAAGAAAAAATAAAGAATTAGCCAGATTAGTTGGCACTGAAGCAGTATTAGTCTGTATGTTTAGAAACTTAATTAAAGTATATAATTACTGTAAGTATATATGAGTAAGAGACAGCAAGAAACCAAAGAAGAATAGTGTTAAGCAATTAAATGAAGACAAAATAAATAAAGAGATTTTACTAAAGCAAAAGTGTAGATGCATGGATTATGGTACACTAGAAAAGCAAGCAGAGAAGAGTTCAACAAAGAAAATAAAGAAGAAAAAGAAAGTAAGATAGAAAAAAATAATTAGCAAAAGAACATAGCTAGTAATATAAAGATAAGTGAGAAGTATAAGACAGACAAAGAAGAAGTTAATCATGAAAAAGAAAAAAACTTGAAGTAACTATAGACAGTGAACAAATGCAGAAAAAACAAACAAAAGAACAAAGTTATTAAGATGAAATAATAAAAATGCATGAAAATAGCAGGTTAAAAGATAATGTCTATACAATGTGGGACATTCCAGTAGAAATAAGACTAGCACATATAAGAAAATGTCTTCAGTTTTATGATAAAATTAGGTTTATTTAGTAAAAAAGTTGTGGTAATAGTAAAGCAGCAATATTTGCTATTAAGTTTAGAAATAAGAACAGAAAAGCAATACTTGATCAAGCATAGTTAGTGCATTTTGAAGAAGGTAAAACATGCAGAGTTACCCCAGATATCTTTGTAAAAGAGATTTTAGAAAGTAGAGCATTACATAAGGCAATAATTAAAAATCTTCTAACAATAGCAATAGAGGTACTATTATTAAGACAACTAAAAGCAGTAAAGGTGAAAGCAGTCTATATTTTAATAAATAGAAATAAAAATCAACAGAAAACTGCATCAGTTTACTTTGAAACAGAAGAGGACTTAAGAATAGCTACCAATAAGGAGTCATACTATTACAACATGAGGCTAAAGTAGTACAATAAAAGAGCATTCAAGAACAGTGAAATCAAAAGAAAAGAGAACAAAGATATAAAAGAATACTGTATAAATAGAAGTTCACAATATGCAAGACATATGAAAAGTCAAGAAATTATAGAGAAAGAAGAGAGTAATAAAGAGAACTAGTAGAAAAAAGATAAGCAAGTCAGTTAAAAGTATAATGATAATATATAGACAAAAGCAGTTTATACAAAAAAGTCAAAAAGTAAGCTACAAGATGTTCTTAGCAGAATATTAAAAAGACTAGATGTTATTAAAGAAAGACAATTAAAAAGCTTGCTCCCAAATTGCTTCTGAAAGTTGCTATAGGCATTCTTCAAAAGAAAGCAACTATGTTGTCGAATGTAGAAGCAAAGAGCATTAGTAAGAAGTTTATGCATAGTGTGAGTAGACATGACAAAGATAGAAATAGTATAACAAGCATTAAGATAGCATGTCACAACATAAATAAAATTAAGCATAACAAGATCAAGCTAAGAACAATAGTTGAGTGAGCAAAAGAAAAAGAAGTTGATATTCTGGAATTAGTAGAAACAAATAGCAATAGTAAAGAACTGAAATACAGTTTGGAGGACAATTGCTACAAAGGTTTTTGGTCACAAAGTGAAAGTACAAAGAAAAAAGAATTAGGTGTTGGGTTATTAGTAAGTCAAAAATGAGAAAAACATATAAGAGAAATATGTAGATTTGAGGAATATTTAATTGGCGCAAAGTTCTACTTTAAGCAAGTAGAAATAATGATAATAGTAGTATATATTCCTTCAAATAACAAAGAAAAAACAAGAAAATTGCAACAAAGAATAATAAATATATATATAAAAAGAGCAAGCAACATACAGTTCATAGTGATGGTGACTTCAATTATAAGATAAACAGCAAATTAGATAAAATAAGTAGTAGTGAAAATAATTGTAACAAATCACTGCTACTACATAAATGGCTGATAAGACAGGAGTTTGATGATATATATAGAATTTGCAACCTAGAATTAAGAGGTTATAAATGAACAGAACAAAATGTACAAATAAGAATTGACCAAATATGGGTTTTAGGAGATCTACAATTAGGATTAGAATAGGCAGAAATAACTAATGCAGAATTTATAACATCAAGTGACTATAATATTGTTAGTGTGATATTAATGTTCAAATACTTGATCCAAACACATAGTGTAGTAAAAATAAAGAAAAAAGAATTAACAAGAATAATTTATCTGTATGATAAGGTGACAAAAGAAAACTGAGAAAACTATTAAGTAGATTTTGTAAGTTACTTATTGAAGAATAGAAAGCTCAAAGTATTTAAAGAAGTCAGATATAGCAATGATATAGACAAAGTGTAGGATATAATATTTTGTGCAATAAAAGATGCAGCGAATAGAAACATATTAAAAAAGAAGGTTATTCAAAGAAATAGTAATATTGAAAGAAAGAAGAAAGCAACAATGCTGCATAAAGAAATAGTAGCACTTAGTAAGCTATTGCAGAAGACTAATAAGTTGGTTAAGAGAGAAGGAACTGAACTAAATTTAGAGAAAGTCAACATAAAGGTAGATAAGATAAATATAGAATATGATCTAGAAATAAGTTATGTAGAAGAAGGCAAAACAGCAGGCCTTGAAGAATAATGGCAATTAACAAAAAAGCAGTAGCAGGCATTAAGAGTTGCAGAGAAAGAAATAAAATCAATATTGCAGTAGATAGAAGATGTGAGAGGATTGACAGAGAAGTAGAAAGAATGCTTACTAGTATTCTAGACAAATCATACAACAAAATCAGAATTGATTGAGTATTAAAACAAGAAGAAGATAAATGCTTATTAATCAGTAAACCAAATGTAGTACTAGAGCAGACAAGAGAACATTTTAGTGAGCAGTTCAAACAGAAGAACATAATTGAAAATGAAAAAGTAATAGAGGAGTTTTATAAGCCACTTGCAGAAGTCAAAGAAGAGTAGTATAAAAGGCTAAAGGCAGAAATAACAATTGAAGAGTAGATAAAAACAATAAGAGAAAC